CAAACACATTGGATCGTTGGGGGATCTCTACATCAGGTCTTCGGTACTTTCTATTTAAATGTAGGGCCCTACGCCCTTGACAGGGGCCCTATCTGTCACTTGTTTAGGCGCAATCGATCATTCGGGGGCCCCCTCTATCTTGTCGCATTCATTTCACATTTGAACGGAAGGTCGCACACTCTTGTCCACGGCCCCATCTCTCAATCTGCTCGGGCACACTTGATTGTTCGAAGCCCCTTCACATTGCGTTTTGGATACTTCCTTTATGAATGGATGACCCACGCACTCATCGAGGGCCCTCTCTGTACATCTCCTCGGCTACGCTGGATTGTTCGGGAGTCCTGTGCATTTGCTCTTGGTGTTTGAATTTAGGGCCGTACGCTCCGTTCGGGGGCCATCTGATAATCTGCTCGGGTGCGCTCCATCTTTCAGGAGCTCTCCTCCGCACCGTGTTTTGGGTACCTCTTATTTGAATGACGGGTTCTACGCTCTTGTCGAGCCCCTTCTGATAAGCTGCTCATACGCATTCTGTCGTTCGGGTTTTTTTACATTGGGTTTTGGGTGCTTCCTATTTGAATGGAGGGCCCTACGATACTGACGCCCTTTTCTCCTAACCCGCTCTGGCGCACTTGATCACTCCGGGGCCCTCCATGCTGTGTCTTGGGTGTTTCTTATTTGAATAGATGACCCTATGCTCTTGGCGGGCCCCATCTTTTTAGGTGCTCGGGCCGGTGGCGGATGCAGAGGGGGGTGGGGAACCGGACACCGGAACGTTCCTCAAGGACCGTGCCGAGGGGTCCCATAGGCTTTGAAGGGGTCGATAACCTGCTGGACGGACGCATTTTTCTAATGAAAAACACAAAATTGGATGTTCTTGGGCCTAAAGACGACACAGAACGGCTGCCGACAAAAGTAAAGAGTTCATAAGCAAGGAAAATTACACCTTCGCCGGTTGACAAAGTGGTGATTAAGGGACATTTTGGGGCTCAATATGCTGTCCAAAGGCTTTACGCTGTTGCCCCGGCCATGTATGTCCACCTGCTTGGGCAATCTGATCGCCAGTGAGCCTTCCACGTTGCCCCCGATCCTTAACATTCTCTCCGTAGGTGATCCCAACGATATTGTTGGGACACTATCTGCTTCCATGCCTGCACACCCCTGATCAATCAGGGCCCTCCAGCACTTCTTACCATTCCCCTGAAGGGCTCTATAGGCTTCTCCGCGGCCCCATATGCCAGGGTACTCAGCTACTTAGGAGCCCTTCAAATCAGTCTCGGGTTCTTTTCTCTCATTCGTAGGGCCTTGTGCTGTTGCTGGGACTCACATTAAGTAAGGCACCGAGACACTCGATGCGCAGGGGCCCTCCACTTTGATCGAGGGCTCTTTCCCTATGATCTTATTCGTGCAGGACTATCCACTTCTATCGGGGATCTTTTGTTAACCTGCCTGGGCATTTTCGGTGGCACAGGGGTATTCATTCAAGGCCTTGGGTAACTGCCTTTTCCTCAAAACGCCCTGTGCTCTGGCTGGGGCCTTATTTGTCAGCATGCCAGGGCACTACCGATCGTTTAGGGGCCCACCACGTTGGTCTTGGATTTAGGGCCGCAGTACGCGAATGTGAGGATATTAGAGCGAATGTGAGGATATTACTTGAAGGGGGCCCCAAACTCTAGGGGCCCGGTAACATTACATGGGCTCCCCTTGACGAAATCCTGAATCCACTCTTGGCGATCGGTGCAGTAGATGCTGAGATCAATATCCGTCAAGTAAGCATCGTAGTTGCATTCGAATTCATTGTTGTGTATTGCTATATACATACATAAATGTTGTGTGTGCGGCAATTCTATTGCGCGTGTAACATATGGGCAGCCAATCTTGGTTGCAGGTTCAGCCTAGGTACCAGCCCACCTACAGGCCACGTTGATATGAGCCCAGCTTGCCCACATATGAGGCATATGGATCCTACCAAGGCGAGCTCCTCTTGATTAAGTCCTTCGTGACAAGATGAATCCCGACGGAACAGTACGAGCCACAAGCATTCCGGTGCACCAGAAAATAGGAAATGATGCGGGCGCCCCACATCAGACTCAGCTGGAGCCCAGTTAAAAGCCTACCTGTAGCCCATGTCCACATTAACCCAGTTGCCCCATGTTTATCCCATGCGGGTCTCATTTGGGAATGCAGGCTAGGATTGCTAGGATATCGGATTTTGTGATTCTGACCTTTGACCTTGAGATGTAGATTTTGCAGATGTGAGGAAAGAGGGCATGCCTAGCATGGGTATCACACCGTTTTGCGGCACTTTCGTCATTAGCGAAAAATGCAATGATATCTTACTTTGTTCGCCTTGACCTTTGAGCTTAAGCGTGAGGTTTTTGGTTTGGGGGAACATCAAAGGGATGAAGATAATATCCATTTCATTCGATTTCTTCAATAAACGGAGGAATTACAGGGTACCCAGGTTTTTACCTTCATTGAGCTGTAGAGGTCAATCGAAGGGATTTAAAGAAAAGAGGCTGCGGATGCGTGAATCACTCACTGAATTTGACAACAGGAGACGTCTTTTGGAAATCTGAACCTGACACTGACTGAATACGAATACGACGTTAATTGACCGGTAGCTGGGATTCGAGCCATGACGAACGAGCACTGTCCGGGCTGTCTGCTTTTGCATGCGAAATTTTCCCTTCGCATTTTTGAGGTGTCTGACTACAGGTCAGGTCTCAATAATGGCGACAGGTGACTCACCCCTACACGTTAAATCGATTGGTGAATGTTTTAAGGCGATCAGATTAGCCGCTTCGGAGAACGAGCGTGCCTGCTTCATAGGCTAGTTTTTTAGACTCTGCCCGTTCACACGGCCTTGGGGAAGCGACGGGGATTTCCCGGCACATCCCATCGATAGCGGTCGGGGTGCGTCGGGGTGTGGTCGTGACGGTAAGGGTACAAGGGGTGAATATTTGGCCCTTCGCTTCCAAATGCGTATGTGTAGGCCAGTGCAGAAATCCATCCAGGGCACTGGGTGCCTATGTGATGCCGGTGCGTTGAAGCTCGCGCCCGTGTTTGCCAAACTCAGTGGCGGGGCAAGTTGGGCTGAATTTTCAAAATACTTTTGTGTGAGAAACGTCTTCATGGAATTTCTGCCTAAACTTACCTTCGCGACATCATACTTCCATGAAAGTATTCTGGGCTTATTCTCACTGCTCCTCTAGCCTCCCTTTTTCTCCTGAAAGCTCCTCCAAACCAGGATGATTGTTCCCATGGCTCCTCTAACCTTCTCAAAGCTTTCCCCAAGCATCCTCCCACCTTCTCTGAAATAAGAAGTGTTTTTTTGGAGAATTTTGTGGGAAGCTGGTAAAAATGTGCTGTTGCTTGCATGGGTAGATCATGTCTCCCCCTGTTGTCACATAACAAAAGTAAAGGATGGTGTATTAATCACTTCAGGTAGATACAGTCATTATTTATGGCTTTGTATCTATTTGATAGTTTTTTTGTACAGTTATGGTTTTCAATATGTATATTTCAGTTAACTCAACATGCATTATTATTTGCTGTCAATATGCCACACCCTGAGTGATACAACTTTGTGCAGACTGCTGATACTGCTCAAATATTGTGCCTGTGACAGCAGAATTAATGCAGATGCATTGCTCCTCTGACCTCCTCTGAATTGTCATCTTTTTTAAGCAGTGGCAGGAGCAGACCCATTGGCAATATTCCTGAAGTCAGTGACAGCTGTGCACCAACCTTATGGTGGTTGGATTATGGCACACATGCTAAAATTGTATGCCTTCCACCCTGTTGCTGCCATGGGGGATATGTTCAGTGGAACATGTTTTTCTGTGATGTATGGCATTGGTATGCCTTGATATGAGAGGTAGTTGTCCAGAACAGGAGATAAATTATGAGACAGGGGACAGGAAGACAAACATTTTAAATTTTTGTTCTTGCTTGCTCTGCATCTGGATCACCCAGCCAAGATCCTTCTCTTGGGAGTGCAGGCATTTTTGATGACTGGTCAATGCTGAAATAGGTGTTACCCCTCAATTTTTAACTTTATGATTGCAAGCATATTGTTTCCATATATATATTATGGCATGGTGTAAGAGCCTGTAGTGGCTGCTAGTGATCATCTACATTTTATGATGTAGAAAGCTTGTTTTCAATTCACAAATCTGTGTATGGAAGTGCTTCAGAGGTTAAGGTGTGTGAAAATGATATATAAATAAATATATATTACTAAATAAACATGCTTCTCCAAGAATCCTTAATATGGAGATTTTGTGGTTAAAATGGGTGAGATAATTGTAACAAATTGCTATCACGGTTCCCAAGAACCTGAAGGCTTTCAGTTTAGTGAATTGTGCTGTGCTGTAATTAAGAAATAGAAAGGAAAGGGTAAGAATTAAAAATAAAAATCACAAATTTAAAATACCCCTGGAGCTTAAATCTTTCCACCAGAAATGCACTACCTCCATTGTCATTTGTATCAATTCATTGTCTGTTGCTATTGTGGCAACTGTCACAGCTGAGACAGAACTTGATGTATTACATTTTTCTAAAATAAGGCCTGTAGCTTTTTCAGTTTTTGAATGCTAACACATGAGCTTGAGGCTATAATGTTTTGTATACATTTCCAGCTGCCTGCACAAAAGAAGAAGGCCCAGCACAATGGGAAAGGGTAAGAAAAAGAAGAAGCCAGCAGCAAAACCCACTGAGCCATCAGATGCAGGAACCGCAGCACATGCGGCTGCCACTGCGGCTGCACTGGGTGCTGATGGAGATGCCCCAATTGCCACTCTGCCCGCCAGTCAGCCAGGGGAAGCAGCAGCAACACTGCCCATGCCAGCAACAGGTCAGGCTCACACCCCGGCCGCGGCCCCGGCTCCGGCTCCGGCTCCGGCTCCGGCTCCGGCTCCGGCTCCGGCTCCGGCTCCGGCTCCGGCTCCGGCTCCGGCTCCGGCTCCGGCTCCGGCTCCGGCTCCGGCTCCGACCACGACTCCGACCCCGACCCCGACCCCGACTCCGACTCCATCTCCGGCCCCTACCCCGTCCGCGACCCCTACCCCGACTCCGTCCTCTATATCGACCAGGGTGCCAGCAGCTGCTGGCGCCCAGCCAAAAGCGGGAGGGGGTCGCGGTCGGGGCCGCGGCCGCGGCCGCGGCGCCACGCGCCAGTCACCAGGACACGAGGCTGAGGACCTCCCCGGCAAGATGGTCGCCATGGATATTGCTCAGACTACTGAGAAGATCTTCCAGCCGAAGCCATCAGAAAAGTTTGAGAGCAAGACATATCGCCTTCAACCGCCAAAGAGGAAGGCGGTGGGCGAAGCTGGCAGGAAAATCAAACTCGTGGCCAACCATTTTGACCTGAACATCAAGTGCACCGAAGTGTACCACTATGATGTGGACATTCAGCCCCGGGCGCCGAAACCCATGAAGCGACGGATCTTCCAGACGGCCATGAAGGAAAACCAGCAGCTCCAACGCTTCTACCCGGTCTTTGACGGGGTGAAGAACATGTACACGGCTCGGCAGCTGCTGGATCTGCCGCCCGGCGAGCAGGCGAAACTGACCTTGCGTTACGCCGAGCCGCTCGAGCCGACGCGCGACTACACGCTGGTGATCAAGCAGGCGCAGCCTTGCAGGGTGGACATCACGCCCATACTGCAGTACGTGATGCGTGGCAGCACGGACGCCATCCCGCAGTCGGCCGTGCAGGCGTTGGACATCGTGCTGCGCCACTTGCCCAGCCTGCGTTTCACGCCCGTGGGCCGCTCGTTCTTCCCCGAACAGGGGGACCGCATCATCAACATCGGCGGCGGTTGCGAACTGTGGATTGGCTACTTCTCGTCGATCCGCATGGGGTGGAAGCAGCCGCGCATCAACATCGATGTGGCCAACAAAGCGTTCCACACTGCGATGCCCGTGCTGGACAAGATGGGCGAAATTCTCGGGAGATCCTTCAACCCCGATCGTGGCCTGCAGGAGTGGCAGGTAAAAACTGATCACAGCAATTATTGTGTAGTTTTCCTTGATGGCAATGTTGCTGGTTCGGCAATGCATTTTGGGCGGTTGTGTTGTTTTTGTACCTCACGTAGTCAGGTTTAAAAACCCCAACTCCGCATTGGTTCTGGAAGGCTGTGAATCCTATACAATATCAGGGCTATATGCTTGATTGAATGCCATTGCATGCTAATGTATGCTATCAAGGTGTGCTCTATTTTTTACAGCTGGGTTTTTGTTCTGCATGCCAATGATTTGAGCAGCATGTGATTGATTAGGTTCATGGAACTGCATGCCCGCCTGGATGCGTCCTTGCCTGACATTGACAAGTGTAGACTTGAACAGGGTGCAGTTTCGACATGAATACAATAACTCCGAAATGTTAGCAGATATTTTGACCGTCTTCCCAGAAATATTAAGTCATGCCATACAGGGCCAAGGCAGATAACACAGAAAAATGTTTGAGATGATAGCTTTGTTTCGTGGCTTCTCATGTTTATGCATGTCTAGAGTGTCCAGAGTCATATCCTACAATGGCCTGCACTCAGTGCTTGTTTAGATTAGCAGTCAGTTGATTAGAGCACCTGCCCTCCGATCCACTTACCCGGGGCAGGGTGGGTTTAAGTTGCTTTAGGTGCTCGCTGTTTGCCATTGACTGGGATGGCCTGCGGTCACGCTCCAAGTCAAGTAAGGTCATATGGCAGGACGGACCGTGCAGAACGTTGCGGTACGTTAAAATTTCGCCCCCAGATCTGCCGTTGACCTGGGATTTCACGATCGGATTGTGGAGACCAGGGCTCACGTGTCAAGCACACCTTAGCTTGGGCTCCGATCCCAGAAATTCACCCATTCAAAAAGTCGGTGCTAATTTTTTTAAAATGTTAGACTCACAGGACGTATCTTGTTCTAGCGGAATGATGTGAACAAGCAGATGCGCACGCTGAAGGTGGAGTATCAGCGCGGCAGGCAGGGCGGCAAGCGCTCCTACCGAGTCAACCAGCTGATACAGCAGAGTGCCCGCAACGCCAAGTTCATGGCTGATGGGCGGGAGGTGAGCTGTGAACCCGATCCGAGCCCCCGCGCTTGACAGCTTCAGGCCACCGCGCCGCTACCCCGTTCATCCGACTGGAGGCAGTGACCGGCGGGAAGTGGGCGCACTCAGCTCACCATATCAGGTATATTCAGGGCGATGACAACATACGGAACGGTCCGCTGTGTCAGCCACGTTCCGTTCGCTCCGAAAATTACTTCCTCGATTCAAGCGTGGCTTTTTCCTGGTTGCTTGACTTTTGCGGCGCGCGCGTGCGTGTGAAAGGCGGGCACAGTAGCTGTGCTGGTCCCGAGAGCGCCCGCTGATTTGCCGCCAAATGGTTGCCTTCAGATCGGAGAAGTTAAAGGGTTGGTCTACCAAACAAATGACTGCTGAGTAAAATTTGTTCAAGGTATGCATGTGATTGACTTTGGATTGGTTCGGAACTGACTACAAATTAACTAGGCTTTTGCTGATTCAGGGTGGGGTTGACTGCTTTAAAATTCACTTAGGAGTCGGTAGTGGGAGTGGAATCGGCCAAGTCGTTGATAAGTTGACTCAAATGGAATCGTAAGCAACATGGTCCTTTTCTTGACAGTTTCACGTGTACGAATTGGAACGCAGTCATACGAAGTAGTACAGTCAAACGGCTTTCGACTTCTTGACTTGGATTTGACTGCCCGACGTCAAGTCAAGCTTTCTGGAAGCTTATGTCTTTCCAGGCACTGTTTGCAGGCTCATACATTTCCCAGCAATAGGCAAAGTCATGGTGCGTAGATTGTGGTGCATTTGCGTGCGAGGGGTCTAATCAGGCCATTATTTGTTGCAACAGTGCAATATGAGTCCGATTGCACCTTCTCCACTGGGTATGTCTGCGTCGCTTGGTGCAGGCGGCCGCGCCATGGCGCCTGCGAGCCATGGATCCGCCCGTTTTGGGACCTCCTAAGCATTTATGCCACATTTCAGGAGTCGGAGCAGATGAAAACGTGAACCTAACTGCACGGTAAAGGCGATGTACCAGCTACAGCTTGAACGGATACCGAAACCTTCCCGCCTGTAATTTACCTGTAATAAGCCTGGAAGCGGCCAGCATGACCTTTCCGAAGTCGATGCCGAATGCAATACTCCGCGGTCCAAACTGGGGAAGATGGACTTGGAAACCGCATGGGCCTATGGATCCGTTTGTTGTGTTCAATGTCCATTTAAGGGGGTTGCCTTTTTGCCACTGTCTTCGTCGCGATTTCAAAATCTTGAAATGATTACAAATTCATTGATAACGATGTAATTACCGAACTGGACCGGATCGACAGTCCTACAAGTAATTTGTAAATGTCTGGGTGCTGCATCAAAAGACGTCTGCCTGAGAAAGTTGCTGTTAATGTCGAGGTTCCAACGCAGTGATAACAACTGTTGGCGTCGGTTGCTAAATGTGTTGGACTTTATTCGCTCAACTTTTGGTATGTACGTAACAGCTGGGTACTTCACCATTTGATATCGTCTCGCCCGGCCGAGGCCGCAAGAGGCGCACTACTGGCCAGAAGAAATGTAGTTTTATATGTTTTCGAGTGCCATAGAACGGGTAAGACCCGTAACTGTTGTGAGCGAAATGGTCTCCATTCATCCATTTCGGAGCTGAGCTATGTTTCCTTGAGTCGGAATCGAAGTTAACTTAAAACTGCGCTGAACTGCGCGAAGTCAGAGTCGGAATCAGTCTTATCCGGTAGGAATTTATCTCCTTATTTGTTCAGTGGTTTTTGTCTTGTTCGTAACTTTTATATAATCTTCACCAACTTTGCAAAGCTAGGTCCCTTAAAAGGTCTTGGCTGAGAGGGAAGTGTCCTATTCGGGTGCTTAGTGTAGCATCGTTGTAGGTCATGCTACCGACGCTGATGATTTAAAAAGGTGGTTATATTTCGTATTTTCTTCACTTGCTGGCATAAAATTCCTTTCGGAATTCGGATTTTCATCATCTTGTCGTTTCTGGGCAAATTAAGTTGGGGTACTTTTTTCGAAGTTCTCGTCAAGAAAACGTGATGCAGCACTAGAGAAACGAATGCGGGTGTTCATTGTTTGTTGTACCCTTTCAGACAACCGTGGAGCGGTACTTCCGCGACACACTGAACACCCCTCTGCAGTACCCAAACCTGCCGTGCCTGTGGGTCGGCTCGCGAGACAAGAAAATCTACATCCCGGCCGAACTGTGCACAATCATCAAGGGCCAGGTCAACACTCGCAAGCTGGGTGCCGAGCAGGTGAGGTGCCTGCGCGCGGAGCGTGCCTTGGTCAGCCTGCGCAGAGTTTATCTTCGACCGGAATTCTGCCGCGGGAACGTGCGCACTTTCATGCAAAATATGGATTGACTGCTCTTGGCCGACTCGCATAGCGCACCGGCCGTTCACCCTATTCACGTTTACATATCGCAGGCGCCCATACACTATGCCCGTCGTGAAATACACGGCGGTGTCAGCGCTTGGTGAGGTGGGGCTGCGTGCAGCAGTGCTGCGCTGGGGGACGGGAAACGGGCGCGATGTCTGGGCGCTGGGCGCGGAGGTGGCCGGGCGGTGCGCCGGGCGGCGCCGGAGAACGGCCAGTGACGCGCGCTGCCGTCAGGTGTCGTCCATGATCAAGAATACGGCTGTGCCTGCCGACCAGCGCCTGAAACGCATCGAGGGCTTTGTGCGTCAGGCGGAGTTCAACAAAGACCCGCACAACCGCGAGTTTGGCCTGCAGGTGGCCGACAGGTGAGTAGCCGGCGCGGGGGCCGCCTCGCCACGGCCTGCGCGGCACCCGAGCACGGGGTGCATCCCCTCGTGCTGTGGTGGGGATGAATCTGGGAGTTGGTGAGCAAGTTTCGCCTACACATCTGCGTGGTAGCCGGGGTGATGGTTGTGGCGGAACACTGTTAGAATGGAGATGATTTCTAAGACTGTGAGACGTATGAGGACTGGTTCTAGGGAAGTCCGGCTGGGTAACACAAGTTTTTGCTCAAGCCAATGGAAGCAGTTGTTTCGCCACATAAGTGGCACTTCTTGGTTTCTTTCGGAGCAATGCCGTATTATAGATATTGTGTAAAATGTAATAATATGATAAATCGTTATCCAAGAATAGGTATCCAGGAGTGCCCCTCCCTCTATCCCAGCCGTGCAATGAACCGTACATTAACACCAGAAAACATAACACCAAGTCGCCACACCCTCAGCTAAGAGAAAGAAACAGACCAAAAGGCTGGCGAAGAGGCGGTGCAAACCTGACAGGAATCGTGGTATGCAACAGACAAAGGCAAATCATTCATGAGAAAGCTGAAAATAGTCATAGCTAAAGTCAGCTAATGCCAGCCCGCTAGAACACCCCAGTGAATTCTTAGCGGTTATTGAGTCTAGAGCCCGTGTGGGCACGGCTCTGTCGCCCCACACCCGCAAGAAAATGGGTTCCGCAGGCGGCGTTCTCAGTATTATGCTCGTTGTCATATGGTTAGTGACCACTGAAACCCTTCCTCCACAGATGGGGAGATACCTTTTGTCGACGACTTTGCCATTTGGACTAGCGTACGAACTAGCACAGCTTCCGAACTCCGACTCCAACTTTGCGTTGGAAACTCGGAAAGATGGAGTGTGGTGAGGGGATTTCAGTTTTCTGGTGCCAAAACTGTATGTGCTCATTTTTGTGGAAAACGTGGTTGTTGTTCCGACCCACACCTTGTGCTTTATGGAGAACGAATACCAGTTTAACAGGAAGCTAAGTTCCTAGGCATTATATGCGATAGCAGGCTTTTATACCGCCCACGCATCAAAAACCTTCGGGACCACTGCTTCAAGGCTTTAATTTTTTTAAAGATTTTGTCTCGGATATCCTACGGGGCCGACCGTAAAACACTTTTACTACTTTATAGGACACTTATCCGATCTAAGAGTGACGATGCCTGTCAGGTGTACGACTCGGCCCCGCAGTTGGCGAAGAAAATTTTAGGCAGAGTGTACCACCATGGCATCCGAATAGCGACGGCGGCTTTCCGTACTAGCCCTGTGCATAGCATATTGTTGGATGCAAATGAGGCCCCTTTGCGCTTACAACTACTGTCCGCTCGAGAAGTGGCAAAAATCACACAATTTGCATCCCATTTCACGTACCCATGCTTTTTTCACCATGTGTTGTCAGTCTTTTCACTACTCCACATGTAAAGACTGCACTGCCCATCACCCTACGTGCCAGCTAGATATTTGAGCCATTGAACATCTCGGTTAAAAGTATTCCGGGTCCAGAGCAGGACCTTCCACCATGGCAACTTCGAACACCCTAGTATGACTTCCATCTTTGTGGATCATCAAAGAAATACGCAACGTCAGACGAATACCTTGCAGAGTTTCTGTGTCGTCTTCATACGGTGTATCGGGGGTTCCGTCACATACATAGCGATGGCTCAAAAACCAGCACGGGTGTAGGATGTGCACTCGTGTCAGGAAACAGGCGAAGATGTTTTACTTTGTCTAAACATTGTTCCATTTTTACTACTGAGTCGTTCACCACGCGTGAGGCTCTACGTTTAGTGCATCACTGTGACGAATCCATGTGCGTCATATTCTCTGACTCTTTAAACTCTCTGGTGACCTTACGACAAGCAAGTCAGCAGCACAAAAGCGCTGAAGAAATAGTGCACACATTGCTTATCTTGGAGCAGGATAACAAGCGTGTTGTTCTGACTTGGCTACCCAGTCACGCCCAGATATCCGGACACGAACAGGCTGAAACCTTAGTCAAACAAGGTGTCGCCGGCCCTCGTTTGGCGTGGAAGAAGACACCAGCATCAGATCTCAGGGACGTATTTCATAGTGATCTAAAAACACGGTGGCAGCGGATCTGGGATGAACTAGGTACAGATAGTAGCCGGAGACCGAGCAAGCTCCGGGCCATTAAAGCGCAGATCTGTGAAAGGAAATCATCCTACTTCAAAAACAGAACGGACGAAGTAAAACCATGTCGGTTGCGCATAGGCCACACGTATGAGACACACTCTTACCTGCTCTCCGGGGAAGCTCAACCTCTTTGCCGCAGATGCGGAGCGCATTTGTCCGTGGCCCACGTACTAGCTGAGTGTCGGAACTACGAGATTGAGTGGAATTGGTGTCTTAATCCGAATCATATTCCCCTCGCCTAGCTGGTGGGTGACCCGCCGTCAAACGACCTTCGAGCAGTTTTGCCTTTTTCAGGGACATTGACTTCAAGCTTTTATACTCACCAACCTGACACATGGCCTTCACACGATTTGTTTTCTACGCTTTACGGTTCCGGTACGCAGCTGACGGGGTGTCTGAGTCGCTAAGACATTGATGACAATCTGCTGAAAGCGTTCTGGTTATAGTTCTGTTGACATGTTCTTAACAATAAGACATGGCCGCAAATGACCAATGCAGTTTACGCGCCCTTAAAACTCAATAACTAGCTTAATAAAGGTTGTTAGTCACAAAAGTCGGAGGGGCAATGACCTCGTCATTTTCAAGCTGGATTGTGAGCTGGACCTGCCGGTAATCCACCCAGCTAAGCGTAGCTTGTTGCTGGGAGAACTCCCGGAGCTGCCGAAGAGTTTTGCTCTGAGTTTCTCCAGCTTATGTTCACCGACTACGATACGTACTTTGCATATACACAGATGGCTCAGACCTGAGACAGGCACAGGATGCGCTGTGGAGTGCGCAGCTGAACGACATGTATTTGTTGTCCCATTTTTGTCCCGTTGTCCCCCTTTTGTTCGGTTTTTCCGCTGAACTTTTTGTAATCAAGGAGGCATTGGCCTCTGTGGAGGATGAGCGATCGGAGCTCTTTGCTATTCTGTCTGACTTTTTTAGCAGCATTCTAGACAGCTATGGTTTAAAAACATAACACGTCTTAGTCGACCAGATTACGCGACTTATTGCATCCCTCGAACAGATTGGGAAGCCTGTTGTTTTCGGTTGGGTGCCTGGACGCACCGGCATTAGATGTAACGAGCGGGCAGACGCTGCGGCAAAGGAGGGAGCGGTCGGACCTCACTCTCGCTCTTCCCGCTCGCCTTTCTCTGACTGTGGGCAAGTGCTGTCAGCTCGCCTTAAGTTAGACTGGCAAGGGGCATGGGGTATCGTGAGAGCGCTGATGGCCATGCAGATGTACGAAGCAAGCGTAGGGCTATCAGGTCAAGCCTGGGCGAGTAACAGTCCTCTCGTCGCGACAGTAGGAAGAAGTTAGCCCGTGCCGCGTCCTCATAGGTCACACATACGGGACACATGACTTTCTCCTCTAGCAGGGCAAGCGCTGGAATGTCCTCGCTGTGATCACGCACCGTCCGTCGTTCATGTCCTCACGCAGTGCCCATACTGCCACGGAGCGCTATCGCCGCTTGGGTCGTCACATGCAGCGTCGAATGTCCTTGCGTTCACTCATAGGCGGGGGCCCCACTATCAACATTAGAGCAGTTCTTGCGTTTCCTAACGGCATTGATTTTACGATCACTCACCCCTTTACGGCATCTTCTGACGGCGATCACTCACCCCTTTACGGCATCTTCTGACGGCGATCACTCACCACTTTACGGCATCTTCTGACGGCGATCACTCACCCCTTCACGGCGTCTTCTGACGGCGCGCGACCCTGTTTGAGAGCACCCTAGCATACTTTCCTTGGACTCTTCGTGTTGCGACCGTTCATTTCGCAGCGCGTGCTGTTTGAACTCGCTTGCGAAGTACAACAGCAACCTTTATGCTATTGCACGACGCTGTTCTGCGCAGCGATAGTTTGGGCGCAAAATGGCCGCAGCTGCCGACGCGCCCTGAAGCTGAACAGCAACGAGCTCCCGGGGCCAGCGCCGTGAAGTTGGGTGCAAGTGTATGAATATGGATAAATCCGAACGTGATTGTTGAGAAGGAAGGAAGTTAAGTATGGAGTGAGTTACACACATGCAGGGCGAACCATTGCAATATCTTCAAGCATGTTTGTTACATTAATATGCATTGGCGAAATGCTCGCGGATGCTGTCTTAACGATGACTTTTGAACCAGGGATATCGGCTATTTTTCGAAAATATGAAATCATAATGTTCGACGGCTCAGGGCCAAGCCAAGATATTGTAAGCAGCCTATAATTACGATTTGGGAGTGGGTAATCTAAATGTTTTACTCGCCTCATGCACTTCATTTGTCCGCAGATCTTAAATTTTGAATAAAATTATGGAGGAAGCTGTAAAGTTTAAAATTTGTGCATGACAATATTTGGAATTTAGCAATATCCGGCAAATTCACATTCT